CGATATCTAAAAAAGTTAATGTACGATTTCTATTACAACGAACTAAAATCAACTTTTCGATTTTTCAAATCGAGCGAAGCTCACACGATTTAACTGGTTACCTAAACGAAAAGCGCCATTTATTTGACTTTAGTAATTACCCGCCCAATCATCCGCTTTACAGCGTCAAAAATAAAAAAGTTATAGGCAAAATGAAAGACGAAGTTGGTGGCAAAACAATTTTAAAAGCCGTTTGTATCAGACCGAAAATGTATTCAATCTTAACTACCCGAAAGGGGTTTCCAAAGTAGTAACTGAGAAAAGCTTAACCCACGAGATGTATACAAGCTGCCTATTTGACAAAACGCATTATTGCAATAAACAACAACTATTTAGATAAATTTATTTAATAAATAGTATAAAGTCGGGCCCGTTTTGACCCTCTTGCCTTTCACTCGTTTAAATTGACTAGTTCGCTTTTCAATTTGGTAGACGTCCACGGACCATATCGGACCCGTTGCCCTTCTCACGGTGCCGCCCTCTTGCTCGCCCGGGTAATAGAGGTACCTAACGACCGCGTCTGGAGGAAGTTCTCTTTGGGTAGTTCTTACAGGTGCACTGGGTGTTTGGCTCGGTAATACTCGCTTCGCTCGTTGCTCCCTCCGGTCGCCTACGTTTTTTCCTCGTTTAACGATTTCACGACCTGAGGCAAACGTTGTGCCCATTCCACGTTACGCACACCTACATTTAACATTTCTTGAGCGTATTGGTGGCCAAATAACCTTTCGGCTAAAGTGCAATTAAACCTTTCCACGATTCCTTGAGATCTGTGTACCCCAGGTTCACCCACTTGAATTTGTACTTTATTTTTTGTCATTAGCCGTTTGAAGTCACCTTTGAATTCAGATCCCGAGTCTACCATTACGAATTTGGGCCAGGTTAGAGGTGATCGCTCGTAAATTTTTTTATTGCCTCGCTCACTTGCTCGGCGGTTTTACTGGTCAACGGTTCCGCCTCTTTATACCGGGAACCCACGTCTACCACGGTCAAAGCGTACTTAAACGTTTTTCTTTTAACGCGGTCCCAGGGTAAATACAAAACGTCCATTTGATGCGCGTTATTAGGTTCGACCGATTTTGATCGCAACATTGTAGGTCTGGGTACGTCATGTGGTGCGGGTAAGTATATTTGCCAAACGGCCTGCTTTTTTAGCCAGTTTCTGATAACTGATTTCGTCGGTTTTTTCCATACCGGCGAAAGTGAAACACAACGCGTTTCGAGTAAATTGCGTTTAAAGCTAGGCCGTTTTTGTCTGATCAACAGAGACTTCTATTTTTAAAGAGACACAAAAACAAAGACACATATGCGGTTGGTATATGTCAAAGTTTGGCATCTTGTATTTGGTGGATTTTATGCAGTTTTGTTTTTTTCATTTCAGCTGTTTAAAATCATTCGCCAGTATGAAAAAAAATAATCGTGACCGCGAGCATGATTCGCTGCTGCGTGAGGCTTATTCGTCAGTATGACAAAAATCGTGTGCTTAATCACATAATGACGAATAGATACACGATGAACACAAAAATAAACAAAATTCGTTGGATGAGATTCACAAAATTCTTTTAGTTCCAACAATTATGATATATACTTGATAAAACAAACCAGGCTTATGAAAACATTTGGAAATATGACGACAAAGGAAAAGATGTATGCAGACTCTAAATCACTTTATTTAGTGTCAGGTTTCATCGAGTTTCAATTCATTATTGCCTCAACATCAATTCATTACAATAAAATTATGAATAATTCACAAAATTCCAATGCACATTTAATGTTTTGGAGGCCACTACTCACAAGTCAGCACAATTAGGAGAAAGCCTTAAATTACTTAAACATTTAGCAGTAATGACATGCAGCAAATTTTAAGTAGTTGTGGAAAATACATGCTGAAAAATGGAATAATTTCATTCGAAATGTAAAAAGAAGTGACAAAACATATCAATTTATATTTCTTTTAGAAAATTGGACATTCCACATGAAATAAAATACCTAAAAGAACTGTGGAGAAGACATTTAAGCTGGTAATTAACGAGTCGGGGAATTTTGCAACATTGGTGATTATTTACACTGGCAACGAACATTGGTAGAAATTATTTAATGGTGTGGCAGATCCTGGTAAAATCGCTGATGTTCTGAATGCCTTATTACCGGGCACTGACCTGAGCACAGACTCATCAGATCATTGTACTTTGCACTTGATATCCTTGGAGGACCTGTGGCATATGCTCCACGGGGTACTTGTGTTGCTAGCACCCCTAGGCTTCGTCTTTGGTTTGAAAGACTCAAGGTGCCAAACTCTTTTTCAAGGTGGGACATTTTAAGCAAAAGTGTATGTGGCTTATTGTGCTGCACTCTAATTAGTTTGAGTTTCAACCAGCTCTCACAGGCTCACCTTCTTCTGTCTGACGAACTCTTAGTATCCCCAGTTTTTCTGCATGCTCTTTCCAGTGTAGAATATCCTGAGGATTGACTTGAACAATTTTATAAGGAAACGGTGTTTTTCTTGCTAGACTCATAACGGTGGCTAACTGGGATGGCAAGAAGATATTACCTGCTCGTTTCAAAGCTCTTTCTATTGCACTATGGGCTGAATCACCCTCACTTTGCCCATGCGATGTTTCAAAATAATGCAGGGTAATCTGCTTGACATGTTTTGCATTATTCACAAAAGTTAGCAGCATTGAAGCAACCGACGTGTTCTTATTTTGTCCTGCACACCCATCTGAGAAGATAGCTATTTCTTCCATACCATCTTTGTCAGCTTTCACAAGAAAGTCATACAAATATGACTATATTTCATTGGAACCTCTGGATGCAACCCCCCGTGCCAAAGATAACACGTGCACTCTCTGCTGTCAAGAACATAAACGGTAAAATTATAACACGATAAACGTCTCTTATAAAACAGCTCAGAATTATAACATGATGGCAAATAAATGACTTGTTGCATGTCAAATGTAGCAACTCTCAGCTTTTTGTTTGTCAAAGATTTCGCCTTAAGTTCCGACTTCAGTTCTCTTACCTCGGTCTTTTCTTGAGAATGAGCTTCATATTTTTCGTGAAGCTGTTCCTTTTCTTGGGTGTTTGCTTTATGATATGTATCACAGAGAGTGCACATGTCCTTTTTGGAACGATGGAATTTAATATCCATTGAATTAAATACGCTGTAATACAGGCTGAATGAAACTGGGTTGTCGTTTTCAGCTTTATACATCTGGTACATTTTCTGAAGAGTTAGATCTGCTGCCAAATACTGGCAATGGCTATTTTTTCGACAATAATGTGACTCAGTTCGAGGGAATCTCATAATGTGTGCTCTAACAGACTCTCCAAGTGATTCATTTTTCTTTTGTCTGCATTTAGACATTCCTCCACGTTTCTCACATTCTAGTACCCCTTCTGCATTCATCTTACGGAGAGATGTTCTAACCTGGCGCTCGCTTATGGCAAGGGTATTTAGAAACAACAACCGACACACCCTTTGGCGAGTTCCCTTCTCATCAGGAAGAAAATATCCAAGTGTTCTCTTTTTTCAACTCCCACTAGGTTTCTGAGGGTAAGAATGCTTAACATGACTCACTATAAATGTCCTTTGCTTGTGTAATTCCCCTGTGTCAAAGTATGCATCCTGAATTTTGTTACGACGAGTTGCAGTAAAATACTTGCAGTGAAAACCCATTAGATTGCAGTAATCACCTTTACATGATGGTTTAAGTCCCCGACGTGCTGGAATGTCTTTGTCTGACGTCATACTTGTGTACTGCAGACCAAGATTCCGGCCCTTTTTTGCAGTCTTGTGTTTTGACAGTTTCTTCACTGTTTTGTCTGGAACCGCTTCTTCTGGTTGACTACCTTCAACAACATAATCTTCTGGTTGTGGGTGTGCAGTCTGAGTGTTTGTACTGTGGGGTTCAGCTTCACATGCACTTGATTCAGGTATGGGTACAGGATGCTCCTCAGGTGTGGCTATTAGTTCAACAGTCATGGAGGTTTCTTTCTCATTCACCCAGCAAGCACTTGATTCAGGCACAGGTTCAGGATGCTCCCCAGGGGTGACAATCAGCTCGTCACTTGTACAAACTTCCTCATGTTCTGATACTTCAGGCACTTCTTCACTCACAGATGACTCTGTTGCCGTGTTCAAAAGCCGATTGAGTGGTATATCATCCAGGTTATGGATGACATAGTCCAGATGTTCGTCAAATGACTTTTCAACGGTAGCCTCCTGATTCAACTCAGTTTCAGTCGGATTTGGGATGGACACTTGGCTTGGAAGAGCAAATTGGTTATGAAGATGACAGGGTGAGCTCTCTTCAAAATGCTTGAAGCACAACAAGCAAAGACAAGAAGTACATGCTGCCCACACCTCTTCATTGCAAAAAAATGTCTCACACTGATTTATATGTAGGCCTACTTGCGTTGGTGATGCTGGCTCTGGGACAGAGTGGACAAGTTTGGAAAGTGGAACATCATCTTCATCATCACTGTCACTTTTTACGTTTTGACTTCCAGGTCCGTAATCAACAACTGTTCCTGTCTCCGCTGCCCACCACATGAGTATGCTGGTGCCTTTGCTTAGAGGGTGGGAGGTGTTAGACCTGATGTCTTTCACTTTTACAATATTTTTTGTCCCATCTTCCCACTTGACGAGAACATCTGTATCAGGTCCTGGCGTGGTTATTCTGAGGATGAGAACATTGAATAAGAGTATATCATAAGTTTTTTTCCTCATATCGGCGAAAGCCAAGTATCAGCATTGAAACACAAACAATCTACAGTGGTTCTCCTCTAAAAAATTACATGTATTAGATGAAACAACATGCCTTAAATGAGCCAGTAGCAAATCCTCAAGCCACTTTTGTAGACATGTTCAAGCAAACTCGAGTACAACCATGACAGGCAGCCGTATTGATTTAACAAATCCCCAAGTGTTTGTCAAGAAACATTAACCCACTCTCCAGAGGCTGCATGTAATTGTAGGGCCTAACGTTTATGTACATGTGAATACTAGTGATTGTTACAATACCCTACGTGCAATCCCATGGTATGCAACCTATAGTAATATAAATTTGCCTAATT